AGAAAAATGCTCTTGAATGTTTCTTCGCAGTCGTGAAGTTTCCTCGATACATTCATGGGAGGAAATATACACTTCCGACGGGCCTCAAGTCTCTTCTTGCCATCTTGAGATCGATTCCGGCGTATTCTTTCCGGCGACCTCAACGATGGCCAACGATCATTCTTAACTAAAACATCCAAATCTAATACTGCAACCGTTCTTCATCTGTCCAAGCCAGTGCACTATAGACTAATGTGAGCAAGCGGGATCTGGAATATGATGATTGTGTCATTGTTGCCGTGGATACAGAAGTAGATACCGAACACCACAAAATCGCTTATCACTTACCAGTTATTGCGACGACCATTCAAAAATCGAATCATCCGATCCACCGAATTGCTATTTCTGCTCAACTTTGCCAACGTGTCAAGACACTCTCGTCTCAAAGCTATGTCTACTGGCCTCAAATCAAGTTGAAAATAAGATCATTGGTGAACAATTGTCAGGATTGCCAAGCAGCTGCCAGGAATTTCGTGAAGACGACATCACAACTAAGGCCGACCACTTCGACTCCATTAGAACAAATTTATATCACGCCGATCCGATCAACGGAATCTACTGGCTGGTAACTGTTGATGCCTTCTCAAAATGGCTGAACATTTTAACAATTCGAACCATCCAATTCTATTCGTATCAACGAAATTCCACCAAATCTGCTCTTCCAGAAGTATCAAACATCTATGTTCTTCACCATTCTTCCCACAGAGTAAATTCCGAGTTGGCAAATTGGTGGACACCTTCGAACAAGCACTTTTCCAATCGAAAAGAAAGGAGACAATGAAAGAAGCTCCAAAGTCATTCCTCATGGAATATCGATCGACAACATGTGCCAGTTTGCCAAGCCAAGTGTTACCAGCTGAAAAGTTCTTGGGTAGAATTAAATTTTCTCCAGTTTTCTTCGATCCGTTTTCCTCTGCTCTCGCCGCATTGATATCGCCACTCTCGAGACGCCGTCACTTCACTTGTGGAAACAATTCGGTCACGTTGAAGTTTATTTTTCTCCAAGTATTCATCGCGATCTGCGTCATCAACGTGCTTGCCATCACGAGAAGTGTCGCCAGCCAGCGCGCTTCACAGAAACCTATTCTGACGTTTATCGGCAGCCGTTGGCTCTTCAACGATGGTTTCTCCAAATCTTCATTTGGCGTGTCTATTCTAGTAGTCGGACTTCGACAGGCATTGACGATAATGGAGAATAACTGGAAAAAGTGGAAATTAGCACAAAATCGATATTTACGTGAAAAACGCGAATGAATACAAGAAGAATAGAGAACTAGTCACGAAAATACTTCAAGAGTATTAATTTTGCTGACAAGAAGAATCAGCAGATTTCGCTTGAAACCACTAAAACATCCAACTGAAATGGAAAGAAGACAAGAAAAGAAGACGCCGCTGCTGGATAAACAACGCGCAGGCCGTAAGAGCGGAGTGTCGTTGTTGTGCGCGAAACTGCCGACGAGGTGAGGCTTCAATTAGTGGAGTTTGCAACGCCCCGCACAGTTTCTGAGAGTGCGGCACAGAAATCATTGTATTGTTGTCAGCTCAAACTAGTGAACGAAAGGAGAAGAAAGTATGGAATCATTGTTTTTTGTGGTTCGATCTGTTCAATTGATGAATTTTGTAGAAAAAAAGATGATATTTGAATGATAAACTACTCTGTCACTGTTTTGTCTCATAGACTGCATTGCGTCTGAAAATGAATAATAATATTTATTTGCAATGCATGGGGGGAAATCGATAGATAATTTGGCAAGAAATGGGACCTGTACAAATAAAAAAGTAAAATGACCAGACGGACCGACTAGAGTCCTGTAGGTCAAGTGGGAGGGATCAGAATATCATAAAATAAGTTCGGTTTTTGTTTCAGACCGTTCTCGGAAACAGATCTGTCTGATTCAGTGCAGTGCTAAGAAGAATAGAAAAAGGTATCGGGCAATGTACTGATGATGTTTAAAAATTGATGATGTTTAAAAAGAAGGAAAAGAAATAATGAGAAAATAGCCTTCTTGAAGAAGTGATTTGCATTTTGCGACAATTTCCGTAATCGGTGACGCATCCAGAATATCATTGGCCTAGCTCAACAGCTCACGAGCTTTTTTATATTTTTTTCAGCAACTTGAAACTGTAACAAGAATAACAAGATCTCCATCATAGGTGAATGTTGGCAAGAAGTGACTTTGAAGTTTTCGAGTACATCGTCGTTGTAAAACATGGATGAAATCCGTCTTCGAGAGTAGAGATGACCGATATTGGAATCTGAACAAAACCTATCACGGAGAGTATCATAAGATACTTCTTACATTTAGAGATCGAAAATCATTCTAGCGGATTTTTAATATGAATTGGGCGAATTTTGAAAATAAAAAGTTACCTGGACACGAGAAAAACTGATTTTTTCCTTCAAATCTCGCTGCTGGTGTTGTTATCTCGCTAATTTTCACATGATTTGAGCATTTAATATCATGGGATCAGTTGAGGTCATGAAATATCTGAAACGACAAAATGGGCACAGATTTTTTGAGAGCATAAATTTTTTTGGAAACTATGATTATGTCACAAAAATTCACGTAAACTTCAATTTTGCTGAAAAGCGAGCCGGCAAAAGAAAACTGAAATCACTTTTCTTTCCTGTCTTCCTTCATTATACCCCATTTTATGATGATGAATCAAAATAATAACGTTTATTAGCTCATCCCAGCGTTTTTATTTCTTCAAAGCTCGTTTTTTGCACAATTCAATTTCAGAACTCTTGGTTTCCTGAAAGTTTTGGAACTGATGTTTTGCAAAAGAGGAAAAGCAGAAAACAGAACAATAAAAAATAAGAAAAAAGTCTTGTTTTATCGAGGGATCGTCACAAACACAAAAAAAATTGCAAAAACGAAGAGTATATAAAGGAAGGGGGAAGAAGAGAAGTATCAGAAAATCTGAATCAGAAATGATGGATTTTGAGCTCTACTTTCTCCTCCTTTCCGCATTTTGGAAAATGTGGAATGGTAAGTTCAAACCTAGCATCAGTTGATTGAGCATAAATTCTAATTTCAGGTAATGTTAAAAATTTAACATGCGACGGTGGCTCCAATGTGGCTAGTGGTGATGCGAAAGAGACATTTATTCCAGACGATTTCATTTATTAAATGAAGTCACCGATCACGGAAATTGTCGCAAGGACAAGATTTTGATAATTGATTTATCGATTATTATATAATAAATCAGTTGAGCATTAAATGTTTTCTTTCGAACTTATCATTAAACATACTACATCAAATAATTAGTTAAGGACTGAATACAGACAGGTTCTGTTAAAGAACACTATATGAAATGCAACAGGTGGATTTTCGCATCTGATAAAACACTACGCCGACGAAAATCCGAAGCGTCTTCGGCTTAATCACACCCAGTTTTTCTTCTAAATTGACTGAAACAATGTGCGCATTAAGTATATCAAAAGGAAACTTGCCGATGCGGGTTCAAAGCATTTTCGCCTCAATTTCACCCAGATTTTCCATTAAATTGTCTAGAAAGATGTCTCCATTGAGTATCAGAAGGAAAACTTGCCGACGCAGGTCGGAAGCATTCTTGGCTCAATTTTACCCATTTTTCATTTGAATCGTTTAGAACGATGTGCCCACTGGTTGTATCTGAAGGAAGACTTGCCGACGCAGGTCTGAAGCTCTTCAATTTAACCCATTTTCCCTCTAAATTGTCTAGAACGATGTGTCCATTGAGTGTATCAAAAGGAAGACTTGCCGATGCAAGTCCGAAGTTTCTCAATTTAACCCATTTTTTCTTAAATTGTCTTAGAACGATGTGCCCACTGAATGAATCAGAAGGAAATGGGAAAAAATTGTATTCTGGGGAATGCGTTTAATTTGCTACAAACAATTAACACATTTGTTTACATGAGGGACGTTTTTATATTCAGCTCAATGAAAATAATAAGGAAAATCTACCGGCTGCTCTCTCACTCAAGGCACGCGTAAGCCTGAAAGTTGTTTTTATTTTATTTTTCAAATCTTGGCAGTTATATTAGGAAACTCACCGAATTAGCGAAATTCGTGCTTTTGAATTTTTCGCAACGGTGTGTTACGGTAGATGGAGTGAATTATTGAGTCTGAGCAAACACTGGAGTCCCGTCGTCTGAGTATGCATGTGATTGTTGTTATTTTCTTTTTTTCAAATCTTGCCCTTTTGTAACCTACTAATCCTACAATAAAGTTTACAAAATCCAAGTTGATATTGCAATTTGATAGGTTTGCAAAGGACCTAACAATCAGAAGACCTTCATGCCTTCTGTTTCAATCCGATAGGATATGTATGCAACCATTTCGTATAGGAAGGAAACAATCAACACAGTTTTGTTACCATCAATTAAAGCTATTTTGATTTTTCGTACTGCACTTTATTCCGTTTAACCGACAAATTCTTCAAAGGTGACAAATCTCAGACAATTGCTCAAATTTCAGGGAATTTCAGGAACTTTTCTAAAATTTTGTAAAAAATATATTTTCGACACACCATTTTTTTGGCCACTATTTCATATGGCAGAAAATTCTCTTATTTTTTCAATGAACCCTGAAAATTTTTAAAAAAGAAGGAAGAAAAAAGACTGGAAACCAAACATTTTCTCGATCATTCAAATTACCATTTCTCATCTTTTAACAAATTCGAATTAGTTTCGTTATTTGATACCCAATCTTCTCGTCTGTTCTCACAAACAAAAACAATGATCTCTTGGAAACACATGCGAGGAAACCCGTTTTCAATGCGATAAGAATGACTGATTACCACTTAGTGTCCACTATTTCGCATCATTTGTCTGTTGATCAGCCTAGAGTCTACCTTTTGGTCAGTTTACATTTTTATACACTACACTTGTAGTCGAGGGAGGTAGGTGTGTCCGATAGAACTAAATTCAGAGGTATATAAGTCATGCGTGTTATCTGAAGACATACGGCAGAAAAATGGCCTTTCTTATTCCTGCTCTTGTAGCACTACTACTGGTTATCATAGCAACACTTTGGAAGAAGATTTCCAACCTTCAAAAATTCAGAAAATGTGATGATACGGTATTGTTTAGAATATATATATTGAAACTAATCATTGTGTATTCCAGATCCCCGGTCCACCAGCTCACCCGATTTTCGGTAACGTCTCCGCTTTCAGTGGAAAGAATACAGCGGGTGCGTGAGGCAATCTTAACATCACAAAGACTATTTCAAAGACACATCATATGTGTAAACTTTCAGAAATTTACGAAATTTTCCGCAAAACTGCCGATGAGTTTAGGAGCAAAGGAAAGAATGTTATAAGATATCGTTTTCTTGACAAATTGTACGTTTGGCCATTGACTGGAAAAGCTCTCGCGGTTAGTTTCTTTTTCAATCTGAACTTGTACTCAATTAATCCTTCCACTTTAAAAAAACTATTCCAGAAAGTCCTAGAATCCACAACAGAACTAAACAAAGGAGACGACTACAAATTCTACTATTCATGGTTCGGAGGAGGAGTTCTCGTAGAAGGATTTGGTGAAAGATGGAGGACACATCGAAAACTTCTCACTCCAACTTTTCACTTTGCCAAACTTGAAGGATATCTGGAAGTGTTCAACGAAGAATCTAAAGTGAGTTCAAATGAAATATGCGTGACGCGCCAAATTATCTTTCTAGATTATGATTGAGTGTCTTGATAAATATGCCGAGTCTGGTAAAACCGTTGATATGTTTGAGTACATCAAGCGATGTGCCCTAGATGTCATTTGCGGAGCTGCTATGGGCACCAAAGTCAATGCACAATACTATCATGAGCATCCCTACGTGAAGGCTGTGGAAGGATTTAATACTCTAGCTGTGAGTCCTACTTAGTTTAAGCAATGCAAAATAAGAATAATTTTTAGATACAACATGCTTTGAATCCTCTGTACGAGTTCGATTTTATCTACTGGGCACTGGGATTGAAAAAGCAAAAAGACGAGTATTTGCACACTATGAAGAAATTCACCGGAGATGTTATTGCGGAAAGACAAGCTGCCATTGCGTCCGGAGAAGTTGAGAAAGAAACATCAAAACGGAAAATGAATTTCTTGGATATTCTATTGAGCAGCGGAGAAGCAAATATCTTATCAGATGAAGATATTCGACAGGAAGTTGATACTTTCATGTTTGCTGGACACGACACAACAACTACTGCTCTTTCATGGATGTGTTGGAACATGGCGCACCATCCGGATATTCAACAGAAGGTTTATGAAGAATTGGTTTCTATTTTCGGAGAGGACCCTCATACGGAAGTAACCACGGAAGGTCTCAGCAAGTTGGATTACACTGAAAGAGTGTTGAAAGAATCGAAACGACAAACGATCCCAGTTCCTGCGCTTCAGAGAAAATTGATCAATGATATGGAGATCGGTGAGTTTGAAATGAAACGAGAAACCGTATACCGTATTGGCTCCCATCGAATATATGCTTTTTGAGCTCAATTATCTCGGTTCCTTTAAAAAATATTAAAAAATGCCCAACTCACAATTTATCTATCATAACATCACCAACATATTATTAGTTGACAAATTTTTGATATCACTCATAGAAAAAGAAATAATTGAGCTCAAAGTGCACGTATAAAGTGTGCTTCTGTTAGAGCAAACAAGATATTCGGAAAACGATCTCAATTATAAAACATTGTTCTATTAGGGGTTTGCAAAAGTAATGCGCGTCAAGTTTGGTGTTTTGTATCTCATCCAAAACAAACGGTTTGTGTTCAATTTTTTTTGTTTTAAAAAGCGCGTTCTTGGGCTTCATTTTGTTATATTATATTGCTGTTTTAATTTGATTTCTATTAAGAAAAACATTCTAGAAGATATCCGACCAAAAATTTTGCCTTCGAGCATTTTTGTGGCACCAATTTAAGGAAGGAAAATCGGCTGCCGAAGCTCACCGCTTGCTTTCTCCTGTATTTGGTGAAGAAGCTATATCCAAAAGTCAGTGTCGCTGCTGGTTTCAGCGCTTCAGGAGCGGAGATGAAAGATTGGAAAATGAATCGCGCCCTGGTCGTCCAGAGCAGGTGGACAACGATGCCTTGAGAGCAGCAATTGAAGTGGATCCTTGCCAAACTACTCTCAGTCTCTCTGAGCAGTTCGACTGCGATTTTTCCACAATTTCCAGACATTTGCATGCAATCGGAAAGACAAACAGATGTGGAAAATGGTTCCCTCATTAGCTTTCCGATTCGAACAAGGAAAGACGTGTTGAAGTTGCCAATATTCTGATGCGAAAATCGTGGTTTCTTCAATTCAATTTTGACATCGGATGAGAAATGGATTCAGTGGGAAAATAATGGGAGAAAAAAACAGTGGCTGAGTCCTGGCGAGACCTCTAAACCGACTCCAAAACCGGACATCCACGGAAAGAAGGTGATGATATGTGTCTGGTGGAACACACGAGGTCTCGTGCGTTTTGAATTTTTGAGACCTGGTCAAACGGTGAATGCGGACCTTTACAAAGATCAGCTAGACCGTGTGGACCAAGCTCTCAAACGCCAAGGCGTGGACACTTCGACAACACTCTTGCTCCATGACAACGCTCGACCACACACTGCAAAAATCATTCAGCAGAAAACTCAGGAGCTGGGCTGGGAAGTGCTGCCTCATCCGCCATATAGTCCCGATTTGGCACCATCGGACTATCACCTATTCCGATCCATGCAACATCATCTGGCCGAGAAAAAATTCGAAAGCGGTGAAGAAGTGCAAATTTGGGTGGCGGACTATTTCGAGTCACAGCCAGAGGAGTTCTTCAAGAAAGGCATCGCTGAATTGCGCACACGTTGGCAGCAAGTAGTAAACAATAATGGAGAATATCTTATTGATTGATGATCTCTTGTTTTGGTTTTACAATAAAAGGAAGTTGCATCAAAAACGCGCATTACTTTTGCAAACCCCTAATAAATACCAATTTTATAGACGGTTACACAATTCCATCGGGTGCCAACGTAGCAATTGCTCCAATGGTTCTTCATAAAAACGCCGAGGCCTTCCCCGACCCAGACAAGTTTGACCCTGACCGTTTTCTACCAGACGAAATCGCAAAGCGTTACGCATACGACTACATTCCTTTCTCTGCCGGCCTTCGTAACTGCATTGGACAGAAATTCGCGCAAATGAATGAAAAAGTGATGTTGATCTATATTTTGAAAAATTTCCGGCTGGAGCCAATGGCTGGTTTCAATTCTACGAAACCAGTTTTTGAGGTAGGGAAAATTAAAAAATCAGTTAAAAATACAATATTTATTTCAGGCAGTAGCAAGACCATCACATGGGATTCCCGTGAAATTGATCAGAAGAAATTAAATTTTATATAAAGTGTACACTTGTCGACGATTAATAAATAAAAACTTAAAATTATGCTTCCTTCATATCAAGCATAGGAATTTCATCAGGAGATACTTCTTTCTTTTCTATGTGAACTTCATCCAGATCAACGTCTTTTGTTTCCTCCTGTAATTTTGTGTAATTTTCAAAGTACACAAAGGAAATTAAGAAACTAACCAAAAAGAAGTAGGAAATCACAAAAGTGATACTTCCAATGACCATGATTGTTATGTAGAAAACCAGTGGCCACCATGTGCTGATATGGGTGAGGATCGGAGCGACCAGACTTCCCATCCTTGCCAAGAAAGAGCAACTTCCAGATGTACTTGTTCTTGACGATGTTTCCATTGACTCAATAGTAATCAAGTATACTGCATCCCAGGTGTACTCAATCATCAAAGTGCCAATCAAGAACACTACAAGGACTCCAGTACCCTAAAATCATGATTTTGGAGGAGACCAGTTCTAATAACCCACGTGATAGTGATTGTGACACATAGCGCCCAAAACTCCAAAACAAAGAACAGTCCCTGCGATTGAACCTTGGTGAAGAGTTCTTCTCTTGAACCAATCGAAATTTTTGTCAACGAAAAGAAGAACAACTTTCGAAATGACAATAATAATTCCGAAGAGAATTTGATTCATGTAGAGGTTTCCTACCAATTTTCCCGAGTTCAAGTCGTTTGAAAAACCACAAACAGCAACTCCAAACCAGAAGATCCATAGGATAAAGAGCTTGAAAAATGTTCCTTTCGTTTTGATAACAGCCCAGAAAGACTTCGATTCAATCAAATGATGCTCAACTGGAACGAAGGGGACCCCGGCGATTTCAGCCATATACTTTTCAGTTTCTATCATCTCAGTAATTCGTCCCTGGAAAAAGTGACCTACACATTAGAAAAAAGCAATAGGAGTAGCGAAAAAGTTCAGATCATGTGTACTTGTAATTTTCTTTTTTTCACATCAAGCAATTGAACCGGTTTGAGTTGTAATACCGTAAAGACTCTAAGGGAAGGCCACTCTATAATTTTACTTCGTGCACAATTATCTCAATTTCTATGAAAGATATCCAAAATGTGTCCACTGATAAAATGTTAGAAATAACATTTAAAACATTTTATCAGTTAACAAGTTTTTGTTACCTTTCACAGAAATTGAGATAATTGAGCTCAAGGTACAAGTATGAGGTGGCCTTCTATTAGTGTGTTTATGATAGATTTGCATAGCGGTGATAGATTTATGATAGATATGCATAGCGGCAGTCGAATATGAACCTAATTGTTTTTGGCTGCGATGAAAAAGTTTGGCTCCAAAAACACGTCTATCGGAGTTTGAGAAATGTTTTGTCAGTGAAACATTTTTCGATACTCTTTACAGAAGCCAAGAAAAATTGGCTCAAAATTGATAGTAAGTTAGATAGTTTCCTGTTAGAGATTTTGTATTGGCTTGACTGGCAAAACAAAATGGAACATTTATTTTTCAAAATCCAACTCACTTTGCTGTGCAGCCATATTGGAGATTCCGGTAACACAAAAACTGTCATAAACAAAGCAGGCAGCAGACATAGGGCAAACACATAAGATGCCATTCTCCATTCTCCGGCAAAAAAACAAATGAGCGTAGTAAAGATACGGGTCCAGCCCCAATTGAAAAACCCGCGAACTACCATTCTCTGATGAGGAAGTATCGATTCCAAAATCCAAGCACATACCACAACCAAGACTCCAGCAATAGATAGTCCGCCACAAAATCTAAACAACTTAAATTATGAAAATAATAAAACTGAATTTCACCTGGCTACATATAGCAAGTGTTGATTTGGAGACATTCCTGTTGCAAAACTAGAACATATAGAAATTAGGATCGCAATAACTCCTATCGGTTTCCTCCCAAAGTAATCGGATGCAATTCCAAAGAATAACGTTCCGACTAGAACACCCACAAATTGAATACTGTTGAACTTGGCATTATGATGTGAACAAACCCATTCAAATCTAAAACACATTATGCCTTTAATTTTGTAGAAAAATCGTAAACTCACTCAATGGCAGCTGAAGCGAACATCTCATCAACAAAGACAAGTTCAGACTTGTTGCAAGTCTCAAATATGCGACAATTTCTTGTCACGGGGCCATCCCCACATTTAAACGACGGTACGTATGTCGCAAAAATGCTAAAAATATATTGACCAACAGCCAAATTAGCAAGTTGCCACGTCACAAAGACAAGGGCATGGAATCGATTAACTTCGAATGGCATTTTGAAGAAAAATGATCTTGATCTCAAAGAATTCTAAAGAGTCGGAAAATATTTCTGGGCTACGTAACTTGTCCACGCCTATTATTTTTGTTCAATGAGAGATAGAATCTTTTTTTTTTTCGAAAATGGCCACTGTCTAGTTCAAAGAACTAATTTCTTGATAAGTTCTTTCACTTTTTTCTTTCTTTTTTTGTGACCTTCAGTGATGACTTAGTGCGAACCATGTGAATTTTGATAGTGAATTGATATATTTGATACGAAGATCAATCGGGAAATCCGCTAAAAATTTAAAGAGAGATCATTAGTTGAAAGAAAAAGATTTAAAAATTTAAAGAAATTCCATAATTCTTTAATAGAAACTTACTTTATGTGTGCACTTTGAGCTCATTTATGTCGGTTCCTTTAAGAAATTTCAAAAATCTGCCAACTAATAAAATATTGATAATACGATGAATAATTATGAGTTGACAAAATTTGGACGCCTTTCACGGGAACCGAAATAATTGAGATCAAAGTGTATTGTGGGTTTCTATTAGAGATTTACAGTATAACACCAACAGGGATGTTCGAAGTGGTCAATTTTCCAAAATGTCCATAATTTTGATTTTCAAAATTTTGGAATTTGGGAATCTCGGAATATTCTAATTTCCAAAAAATTCGGAATTCGGAAGTTTGGAATTTTTTGATTTTGAAAAATTTAGTCCTATTTTAAAAATTTAATATGATCTAAACATTCGGTTCGATCCTATTTTTGAAACTCGACTTCATTCAGAAGACGTCGTCGGAACTCCATTTTCTGATCATTGGTCACTTACCGTTTTCATGATTTTCCCCATAATCTCTAAACTCTCCAAAATTTTTATCCATCTTATTTTTATAACCCCATCAAAACTTTCGAGCCACCGCCCACGCGAACAATCTTTGGAAATATTTATAAGAAAAATAAAAGCGAATATGTTAATTTTCGACTATATAAATAAAGAGACGATCACAAAAAATGCGTCCTCCTTTCCTCTTCTTGGTGATATTCGAAGTCTCCGATGGCGTCTAACCTGCCATCCCGGATTCCAGTCCTTCAGAATCGAGATGTCCAAATTGGTGCTGGAGTGGCTGCGGTTGGAGCTGACCTACCACCACGTGGATTTGACACCAGCTCGTTCTCACGTAAACCAATTCATCGCTGTCAATCGGCTCAAATGATGGCTCGTCTGGCTTTTTTCCAGGCCAAGTTGAATTCTGATCAGAATGATGAGTGGATGGCGATTTCTGAATTGAATCCAACTCCACCTCCAACTCCTCAACCTCCGATTCTAACTTCAACCGAGCCTCCGGTTCCTTCTCTCATTGCTCAAGCGTTGGTTTCACCTGATGTCCCGAATCCCGCGGAACGACCAGCTTCAGTTTTCAGTTTTTCTGAGGTTCCATTGTCTTGCTGGGCATCTGCTGAAAGTCTCGCAACAGTTTTGAATCCACCAATTAGTTCAGTTTCGGTTTCAACTCAAACTCCAACTGGCTTTCCACTACTTGCTGGGCTTCCACGAGCGGTTTCTTCTCCGACTAAAGCAACTCCCATTTTGATCCAAGCTCCAGCTTCACCACGTCGGACTACAACATTTGCTGAGCCACTCGAGAGTTTGCCACGCACTCCAGTGGGAGCTATTCCATCCAATGAGCTCACCATCGTTCAAACTATTACTTATCCAACTGAATCGCCTCCAGAGGTTATGGTTATCGACTCTGCGCCAGTTCTAATTTCTTTTGGCCCAGCTACACCAAAAGCTATGCCAACTATCGTCAACATCAATGTCGCCAAAAGAGGACGTATTTCTATGTCCTTGGTGAGTTGTGTCTTCTAAATTTCAATACTTTAATTTGATTTTTAGGGATCCGGAGGTTCCACATTTTCATTCTTGAAAAGACGCACCAAGAAGGGCCAGTACCTCGTCAGCAAGCGTATTTCCAAGGTAAGTAAAAATGTCAAAAACGACGCAAAACACATAATGTGTTTTCAGAAATCCCGTTGTGATTGCTGCTACGGTTGCAGATACTGTGGCGAGAATTCTCATTGGAGAGTGGTCAAGCCAAAATGGTATTCGTGCTGGAAATCCCCGAATGATGAGGAATTCAACAGAATTGAAGTGAGTTTGTCAACGAGATATTCTGAAAACGTCTAGTCTCTTTTCAGTTGATGCGATTCGCCGAAACTCAAGTTTAAGACGTCTTTATGTATTTGTTTCCGGCCTTCTCAGCTGATAAGGTTCAACGCTGTGGAAACATAAATAAGTACGAATTTTTGGGGAATAAATTAGTTACAACTACCTATTTCCACATCGAAACAACAGAATAGTTTAAAATAGGCTGCGGAATTTTCACAAGTGCCAAACATAACATAAAACATCCTAAAATTTGCGGAAACCTGAATATTCCGAAAAATTTCTTTTTTCCTAGAAAACAGGAGCAAACGCCAGAATTAATTTTTTTTTTATTTTTTTTATTAATTTTTTTTTCTTTGGCCTAGGTCAGTCCCATCAGATTGTGTGGTCGGATCAAAAATCTAAAATGACGCAGTCTACCCAATTTATCCCGCTAATCTACCTAGCTTTGATCACACAAGTCTGGTGGAGCGGTAACACTTTTAATAAGAAAAAAGTGGAAACATGTTCAGAACTTTATGAAATTCAGCAAAAAACCTTTGGTGAAAAAATAAAAAAGATTTGGTGGACTGGAAAGTGCATATTCAGTACTACAGAATGCAGATAAAGTTAAAATAACTTTTTAAGGCGATCAGGTGGACAGGAAATTGGCAGAGAAAAGATTCACAAGAAAAACAGGGAGACAACAATGCACAGAATGGGGAAGTGGGGAAAGAGATGAACCGTTGGACACAAGCAAATGGAGAACATTAGAAGAATAGTAAGGAGAGGAGTTGAAGATTTCCAAAAGTCAATGTGGATTCAAGCAAGTCACTTCTGGAACAATTCCACGAGAAGAGTAGTAATGCTCGATCTGAAAAAGAAATATAAATTTATTAGTTTTTGAAATGATCGTCTGCTACCAAAAAATCAATGTCTAAGTATGAAAAATGCAACATAAAGCTAGAATAGTTAGATAATGAGGGTTTTGAAAGGAATTTCGTCTTCTTTAATTTTTATCGGATTTTCAAAGGAGGGTGGGGGCATCAAAAACATAATTTTCTCAGAATTTCGTTTATTTGAGGCTTCGTGGAGCTGTAGCGCAATCTAGACCATTATGTCGAAATGCACATGTTCTCCCCGAGAATACCACGAAGACTTTCTTGTTTCCTCTCCGTTAAGACCACACTTTATTTGTCTCCACTACTTTTATTTAGAAAATTCTTGTGTCTATGATATGCTTACCTTCTCAACCGCTTCGCTGACCTTTCTCAACACCTCACTTGTGTTGTACTCTTCTCCATACACTGTAAGTATGAGCATATGATTGAATTGATTTTTAAAATCATAATGTTCACACTTACTTTTTCGAGAATCCATGAGAACAACCAAGCGACCAATCTGTTCAACGGTAGTACATTGGTGATTGATGTTGTTGTGGTACATGCTTCTCGAGATGTGGTCTGAAATTAAAAAAAAACAGATTAGGGAAAAATAAATTAGTGCTCACTGATGTTGAGTGGTCCGATGAGATATTGAGCCATTTCCATATCGAAGTGACGGTTTAGTGGATCTCGGAAAGCTTGCGCATATTCACAGAGAGTCTGGCTACAGTAGGAAAACGATGGTTTTTTCGATGTCGAAGTCGTCTGTTCTGCTCGGAAATGTTCAGCGGAACGTTTGGCACACATTCTGAAAAAGAAAGATTTTTCGAAAATGGTTGTCTAACGGAACGACAGGAATAGTAGGAGAATTCCCACTGAAAAATAAAAAGAATGTCATTGCGCAAACCAGAAACATACAAAATGATAAATTTCAAAAATAAAGTGAAATCTCTCATTTGCAAAAAGACATCATGTGAAGCCAATGGTCCAAAAATAAGAGGTGTCTATGGAAAGGTGAAAATATATGTAGGCAGACACTGCTCTGATTATGCGGGGTACACTAGTTGGATAAGCCGCCAAGCGTGACAGAAACGGCGGGAAAAATCCCGGGCACCTGAGTATCTATTATAATTAGGAAGAGGAGAAATAGGTAAGGCACCGGGTGGTCGGTTAAAGGAACACCTATTTGGGCCCCCTGATTAATTATAAATGGGACATAGCTCTATTTTAAAATATAAGAGAAAAGCAGGGCCCATATTCTCATTCACCAATTTTTTCTTTATAATATTTTGGAAAAAAAAGCTCCAATTTATACTTTTCGAACATGTCACTTCTAATTCTACTCTATTAGTAGTATAGCTACAAAAAAGGTGAAAATAGAAAGAAATACGTCAGTTTTAAATTCGAATTTTGAAATGTACACTCGACTCACAAAGTACGTACTTTTGTATCCATGGTTGGCAAAAAAAGGAAAGAACGGAATAAAAGTGTTTTTATGGTACGTAAACTTTTTCCCTAAAAACTTCGCATGCTATATAAACCTCAAAAAGTTCAAGAAATCCAAACTATGAGCAGGTGAAATAAATAAGAAAGCAGGTAACTTGAAAGTAGTGTTTTAACAACACATATGTAAAACGCAAACCTAATTCTATGTGTTTTCACTCAATAAATCTTCATTTCCTCAGAGATGTCGACACGAAAAACAGTAAAGCTCTACGCGACAAAAAATACGGGAACCTAGACAACAAAACAATAACTTCCGTTAACAGCAATGAAGACCGGTGTGTTCAAAAAGAGAATTAATTATAGAAGATGTATAAACGAGGGAGGGGAGAAGAATATGGAGTAGAATTGCAGTAAGGGGTACAATTTGAAAAGAAGAAGAACAGAGAGCAAAACAAACATCTGTGGAAAGTGCAAAAAATAGGGAAAACACAAGAAACGAAACTGGTGAAAATTTGCGAAAAATGAGACTTCTGGAATAAACCTATCATGTGAAAAATGATATTTCATAAAATATATAGTTTTTTGTTTCAAGAAAAAAACCAAAACTGATCACATGTAGAAAAAATTCAGTTGGAACATATGTCTTCTCTATTGATGCTTTTCTACGGAAGGAAGTCTATGCGAAATTAAGGATGACGGTTGAAAGAAGAGAGGGGGAACGGACGGGACTGGCGGCGGATTGTCAAGGTTATTGCACGTCGTCAGGTGGTGACGATGGAGCTGGCTCTCGCATCATGACTGGTCCCGATGCAGATGGCGCTGCCTCTCTTGGTGCTGGTCCTGGCGCTCGCATGTGCTGTCGCTTTCGTGATGGTCCTGGCGCTGGTGCAGCCGCCACTGGCTGGTTTTGAGCAACACGCAACAGCTAAAACATAATTGAGAGATCAGACTATAATTAACTCTTACAACCCACCTCTTGTACTCTGACTTCGACGTAGTCGATGATTTTTTTGACGTTGTGTTGCCAGTTTTGAGCTGGAAATTTTGCGATATTTAATTTTTTTTAATGACAGGCAAAAGGTAGAAATTTCAGAAAACAATTTGAATTTTTCTCTCTCAAAAACTGGGATTTTGACAATTTGAAAATATTCTTGGCACATAGTAACTGTCAAATTTTTTGTGCTGATAACTACAGTAGTGCTCAAAACTGTGGAAGTCATAAATATTGGACAATTGAAAAGTGCTCTGCGAACAGGTGAAAGAACAATTCTCTATTTTCAAGATTTCAAACACCTCCTAATTAAACTAAGGTTTTTTGGTTTTTTTTTTTCAGAGTGTTGAAAATCCGAATATTCCGGAAAATTCCAAATTTTCAAAATCAGAATATTCCAAAACTCGGAAATATCAAAATTTTCAATGTGGAACTGTAAGAAATTAAGAAATTCCAATATTTGCAAAATCGAAACTTTACATAACTTCAGAATTTCAGAAATTACAAACCAGAAATATTTTAAATATCTGAAATTCCGAATTTTTCAAAATCGGATAATTCCAATATTTTGAAATTTTGAACATTTAAAATTTAGAAAACTCAGAAAATTAGGAAGTTCAGCATTTTGCAAAATCGGAATATTCTAGAATTCTAAAAAATCTAAAATTTTTAGAATCGGAATATTCCGAAATTCCGAAATTCTAAAGTTTTGAAAATCAGAGTTGTTCTAAAATTTTGAAATTTTTAAATATTGTAAATCGGAATACTCCAAAGATTCAAAAATTATTATTGTTGGAACGTTGAAATATTCCGAAACTTCGAAATTCTATAATCATGAAAACGGAAAATTTAAAACCCAGAACTTTCAAAATCAGAAATTCCAAAAAAATTTTCAAAATCAGAATACTCCGAAATTCCGAAATTCGAACATTTTATAATTAGAAATGATCTGAAAATTAAGAAATTCCAAAATCAAAATCGATTCAGAAATTCCAAAATTTGCAAAATCGGAATATTTTAAAATTCGGAAATTCCAAAAATTTTTGGTTCCGGATTATTCTCAAATTCCGTATTTAAAAATATTACATTTTCGGAATATTCCAAAAATTTTCAAAAGCTGTATTTTCTGACTTTATGAAATTGAAATAAAATATTTCAAAGTTCTGAAATGAGCAAATTTTCAGAGTTGAGATATTCCAAAGATTCCGAAATTGCAGAATCAGAATATGCTAAAATTCTACATTTCCAAAATTTTCAAAAATGGGAAATTTCAAAATTGTTGAAATCTTAATATTCCAAAAATTCAGAAACTACAAAGTTCTCGAAATCGGAATATTCCGAAATTCCGAAATTCCGTGATTTTGAAAATAGAAATAGTCCAAAATTTTGAAAATCGAAATATTCCAAACTTCCGAAGTTCCGAAACTCCAAAACTTTTTACGGAATATTCCGAAATTCTGAAATCTCAAAGTTTTCAAAATCAGAATAATCCGGAATTCTGAAATTTGGAATTTTCAAAATTTTCGAAATCAGAATTATTTAAAGATTCAGAAATTACAAAATTTTTCCGGGAAGTCAAGAATTGAAAGTTTCTCAAAATTGGAATAATCCAATATTTCAAAGCTTTCCGAAAAAAAGCACTCCGAAATTATGAAGTTTTAAATTTTCGAAAAAATGGAATTTTTCAAGAAATTTCAAGATATTTCGAAAAAAATCTTCGGAAAATTTCTGGAAAAGATTTTTGAAATAAAATATCAGGAAAAATTTAATTCTAAAAAATCAGAGTTACCGAATTTTTTTGAATGGTGGCACACGCAAACCATTAATTTTGAGTACAATCATCTCGTTTTTGTGATTATCGAAATTTTGTCAACTCAGCTCAAAGTTCAGGCCCGGGCGAGTCGGGTTCCCGAAAATCAGGAAAAAGCCTGGCCCTGCCCGGCCTGTACTAATTATGCGATTTTTGACATTAAGTTTGGTTTTTTTGTGGAAAATGGATTCTAGAGATGCCACCGATCATTGGAAAATGTAACTTTGCCTCAGAAAATCCCACAAAAGTTGAAGAAGTCAATTGGGTCTCTTTCTCTCTCTCTCTCTCTCTCTCTCTCTCTCTCTCTTTCTCTCTCTCTCTTTCTCTCTCTCTTTTCCATCTAATATTCTGACTCCCTTAACTTACTTGTTTCTCTCTCCCTGATGATCAGCAACAAACGTCCGATTTGCTGCTGAGTGTCACAGTTATGATACGTGTTGTTGTGGTGGACCATTCGCGAGACGAGTTCTGAAAAACAAAGATCATGACATTTTTTAGCCGGTTACATCTTTTAATTTTCTATGGATTCGAATTTACCTTTATTCACCTTTCCAAAAAGGTAACACTCGAGCGGCAAGAATTCCTTCGCAGGACGCAGGGCCAATCCCAGTTCGCAAAATCTAGTCTCATGTCGACAATATGACATGGTCCTGAAAAAAAAAACTTTATAAAAACGAGAAATATTAACAAGAATGCCGTTTCGGTCACTCAAATTTTCAAACTGAGAGTTCAAACTGAGAGGTAAGGGTCATTAACAGTGGGCGGAGTCAATGATGGTGTCGGAGAGCACACAAAGACACGGCGGCCGCCGGTAAAGGATGAAAGAGTCGGAATGATAGGCTGATTATTCATACAAAGAAGATTTGAAATAGCCGCTCCTAGCCGGTATCACTGAATGAGAGACTCCAGAGGAAATTCAAATATTGTAGGGAAAATCATGACGTGGGCTTTGGGCGAGAACAGAAGTTCTTATAAAAACATCCTTCGCGGGTTTCATTTGTATCGTTTTGTACCGAAAACATAACATGCAGCAACGGCAGGATACAATGTCACAAGGACATTTTGAATTGAGAAATAATGAATGAGTCATATCCACTTTTGAAATATTATCCAAAAAAATATTCTGTTGTAAGAGATAGACAATCCGTGATGCAGACGCACTTTCACTTTTCAGCCCAGATGTCATTGAACAGTTGTGTCTGGACCATGTAGTAGCGCTTTTCTAATTGGCGATTTTATCAGAAACTAAAGCTGAAAGCTGAAGTTGGAACAAAATTTCAGGAAAAGCTAACTGAAAATTACCGAAAATTTTGGAAAATTGAGAATTTCAAAATAGAAACATATGAATTGAGAAACTAACATTTGAATCTGGCAAAGTACAAAGTGAAGAGACATCCATTAAATTCAAAACTGAGAATGTTGACATTGTCAAGTAGACAAAGTGTCATTAACATTACAAATGCACTTTTTTAATTGTGTGAATCACCTCAAATTTGAACTTGTTTGCCTTCCTATTGGTTTTTTGGTTCAGAGCATACTTGTTAAATTCCAGGCCAGCACGCCAAGGCCGGGCCGGGCTTGAGGAAATTTTCAAGGCCCGCACCCCGCCCAGTAGGTCCGGTATCAAAAATGTTGTATTAAAATACCAAAATTTTGAGATGATTTCGTTTTTTTCTATAAAAGCATACTTTCTCCGGGTTTCAACCAACCTATACATTTTGATTAGCGTGTGTTTTTTGAAAACAGCAAGTTTCCAACAACGAACGATGAATATCGAGTTATAAATACACCATGTATCTGATGGCCTAGGAAACTCAACCTTCAAATGTCAAGCCACCTGTTTGAAATAGCCTGATACAGAACAGATGAGTATCAGATCATTGATAGACTTATTTTCCTGGTGGCGTAGAAAACTCCGCTTGCGGAAGTAAGGCCATCATGGTAAATAGCCATAAAACACATCACGTGCATGTTTCAACATCTATCAGAAAATGTTTAAAAAACTCGACCAAGCTATTATTTTGAAAAAATTCTAAATTTGTTTAGATTTGGTCGACATTGCAATATTGTGCGTGTCTATGATATTTGTTTAACATCTACAGTATCCCAGAAAAGATTTGCAAACGACTGAAGCGTTTGAAAAGGAAGATAATGTCCATTTGTTTCGAATCCTTTGGAGCGAAGAAAAGTGTCTTGATATTGTAGCAGATTTTTTTTTATGTTAAAAACCGATTTTGTAGGACAAAAAACAATTTCTCATCCTGATTTTGTATGCATTTTCCTGCTCAAATTTTGAAAATAAGGTAATTGCTCGAATGGTTATTTTTAACGGCTAGTCGAGTACAAAATTCAAAAGTTCAAAAAATTTTGATTCATTTTCACTATTCAAAAAAGTGAGACATCAGTGAAATTTTGTTAATTCATAGCCTGAAACACACAATAATATACCAAAGAAAATTGAAAAGTTGTCCTACAAACCGAGAATAAACGATGTTTTTAAACAAACCTGTTTAGAATGAGATCAGAGAGCATTTCCACTTGAGCGATGTTATCGCAAAAAAATGTGCAGCAGGTATTTGAATATGTTATCTTGCCCGACCATCTTGATACATGTTCGAAAGATGCGAGTGACGTTGCGGAGTCAATACTTGAAAATATGAAATCCAAAGGAATACGATGCTCAAACTACTATGTTTACGAATGAGAAAAAATCAGGAAAGGATAATGAATTTTGTTGGGAGTCTGGTTCTCCCCCTGACTCTTAATCTTCATCGAGCGCTAATTAGGTGACTCGCATGTATTGTCATTATGTCTGGCTCCAGCTTTTCCTGTCGAAGAAAATAAAACAAATGGACTCAGACTTCGAAGTTATCTATTTTTCTGTGGGGCACTGTGAATGTCTGAAAATTAAAGAAAATTTTAATGGATTAGACTGAAATTTGCAAACAAAATTAGCCTCAGTTTCGTAATTATAATGTTTTTGTACGAGTTTATACAACAAAGATTGTACATTGCTGAAACCAACCAAGTGTTGAAACACCCAAAAATTCTACGAAGATCAGATGTGTAACATTTCAAAGCCTTTTATCTCATTTAGACGAATTTGCGCAAAAATAGTACCAACTACAAAACTGAACATTTAGTTAGGTTTTAAAAACTCAAAAAATTTCATTCTCATTCAAAAAAATCTACTATGTTTTGTAGACATTCGAAACCACCCTGCAAACGACGTATTACAAAAACTGGAACAGTTTTGAATTCCTGGTTTGACACTCATCAAGGACCAAGGCACTCAAATAAGGAGAATAATCGGATATCGTAAATGATGATGCCCAGCTTTTACGCGATTTTTGAGCTAATTTATCTCAATTTCTGCGAACGATATAAAAATTGGTCAACTGACCAAATGTTTTTTATAGTATCAGTTGATCACTTTTTGATAACTTTCACAGCAGCAGAGATAAATCATCTCAAACTTAATCTTAATGGCGGGCATCTTTTAGAGCATTTACGATATGTGGAATATCTCAATTTGCACCCAACGTGATTTTTCTAATTTAGTTATACTTAGGTCTAAAATATCATACATTATCGTTTTCCAAAACCAACTGCACCCTTCAATACATGGGCACATATACAATTGCCTTTGGTTTCCATCCTACTCACAACCAGTCACTGTCCTAGACCTATTCCTTGTTAGTGGAAAGTGATCTCTCGACTATTGCAACCACGATCAAATCTTGCAAAATTCTTTTTTCACATTTTCGTAACGGAATGTGCCTTCGTTCTCTTGCGTAACGAACTTTGTGAACGAAATTCGTTTAGTTTTGTGCGCAAAAATCTGAAGATTGGCTGTTCACAGTTCTGTCTTTCTGACGAATGGTTGCATGTCCCGATTTCCCACCAAAGATTAGACATCGTCACATGATCATCAGAACGGAGCTCTAGAAATTTCGTAGATCACGTGGAACAAGAAAAGTGTTTCCGATTGAATTCCGAAAAAATTCTTCTGTTCCAGATTCAGTTTCAGGCCCCCTTTTTGACCATCATCTCCTTTCCCCCCGAAAAAGCGAACCCGACAAGTTGGAACAAAAATGTTTCAACCATAATTGAATTTCAAAAACTGGGAACTTCGTTTCGCTTTTTTTTTTCTGACGAGTTCTGCCTAACGACATTTGGTTAGCTCGTTAGGGAAGTTAGAAACTCAATTTCGTTTTGAAAATGTTCACAAAGAAGGTTCACCAAAAATTTTTGAAGAGCTCCTAAATTTTCTGAGGAAACTTGAGAAAAATTGAATCAAAGCGTGAAACCGAGATTTTCGAACTCAAGTTCCTGGTTTGTAGGCATAACAAGCAATATAAAATCCTAGTCTTCCGGTAGTATTAGCTTCCCTGGTTCAAAATTTTTCCTATTCTGTTGACGGTTCAGAGCACATAACAAGTACAGAAAAACCTATTGCACGTAAACTACATTTTCTAAAAATAGAAAATTTCGCTAAAAATGGAAATTCGACGCAAAAAAAATCTCTGAAAACTCAAAAAACAACTCAAACAGTTATAAATTTATTTCAAATAAAAATCATGGAATAAAATAATTGTATCATAATAACAAAACCATGAAAGGTTATTCAAATTATATTGTAGTATGGATATTATCTCCAAAAGCAGTGTGTTTGTGTCATCGAGGTAGGCTAGAAACATTATAACAAAAAAATTGGCAGGGTTACGGTGAACAAGACAATATGTTAATCAAGAGTGGCTCCGGGTGACGTGCAAGTAGGTCTCAGCGGTTGAATTTCCAAATTCATTGCTTGCGGTACAGTAGTATGTTCCCAGGTGCGAAAATAAGAGATTATGAATCATAAGGTTTCCATGCTCTTTGATTTCGTAACGGCCTATTTGCTCGATAATCTCTCGACCTTCGAAACTCCAGGTCCATTGAGCAGGAATATCGGAAATGCAAACGAGAGTAGCGGTGAGTCCTTGGTTTTCAGCACGAGATTCAGTCCAGGCTACAATTTTAGGAGCAGCTGGAGCTTTTGGTGGACATTCTTTGGGAGGACCCTCTGAATAAATTAAGGTGTGTGAACGAAATAATAGATTTTGAAGCTTACCAACAACTACATGAGAAGTGCTCTCGATTCTATGATGTAAATTGTTTCCAAGACATGAGTAGACTCCAGAGTCTGAGGGTTGAGCACAAGGAATAATGAGTTCAACAGCCATGATACCAGTTTCAGTTGGTTCCCGTCCCTGATTGAGATTCTTCTCTTCCCAATTAATGAAGCTTCCTTTTCCTGAGAACAAATACTCTCCATTACGAGCCCATATAACAGCGGGAGTTGGGATTCCACCGATTTCGCAGTGAAGTATCAAGTCTTCTCCAGCTGCAATAGTCTTGTTCTCGACAGGGACGGGGACTCCGATAATGGCGTGCTTTGTGATCCATTCATTGTCAATTGGTTTCTCATTTCCAAACAAATAATCAAAGTACATTTCATCAACCTGGAAATTCAGATGTTGATCGAAAAACCGATGACCGTGAACACTCTAATAGGAACCCTAACATACCTTCAACTTTAAGCCTATATATCTCGATTCCTTTGCAAGATATGAAAAAGTAGTCAACTACGAAAATATTTTTGGTTTTACGCTGAACATTTTCACAGTTGATCACTTTTCCATATATTTCACGGAAACCGAGATCTATGAGCTCAAAGTTGACAGTTTAAAAGACCTTCTATCAGAGTGTGTACGGTATGTTACCTACCACGGGATGAATTGCTACCACCGGAGGGATTGTTTTTCCAATAACAGTACTGGCTATGAAAAACGCAAAAAAAATAGATCTCATTGCAGAGGAGGTAGAAAAGGAAAAGAGGCAGATGGTGATCCTCGTGGAAGACTTAAACGAATGAACATTTTGAAAACCCTAAAGTCGGGAAAAATCTTGTAGGCGGAGCTTGCATCTAGATTTTCCTCCCCCCCTTTTTTGAGGAACTTTTTTTTCCTGAACCGAAAAGACTAGGAAATAAGAGTAACAAAAATTTATTGGAAAGATCAAAGGCAATATAATTCAATGAGAATTGAGATCACAAAAAAAAAGATGAGGTGTGATAAAAAGCATTTGAAACAAAAATGTGATTTAATAACTTCAATATGATAGAACAAAAACACTACTCGCTAGCATTAAGCATTTCATAGAGATTAGTTATGTTCTGTTTGATGATGCTAATGTATTGATCAAGTTCTTCTGTAAGACTGTCTGCATGCCTCATCCTATTCTTCTCTGACGCAATTAGTTCATCGGCAAAATCGATTTTCGACAGCAAATTCCACTTATTAAGACGTTTTCTTGCCACCTTCATACGAGTTGCTTCATCGCAAGCTTCCAATGCTTCAATGTGACTGCTTTCCCAGCAGACAGACGAGTTGTTGTTAAATAATGCTCGTTTTAAATTTGAGAATTTGAAAAAGGCTCTCAGGCATGAAGTCCACAATATAATTTTTTTTTGTTTTTTTAAAACCAAAATGTACTTCGAGCTGACTTATCTCGGTTCCTTTAGAAGATATCAAAACATTTCCTACTGATAAATTATTTTTCATACCATCAACAATATTTTTAGAGCTGACAGATTTTAGATATCTTTCATAGGAACCGAGATAATTGTAAAAAAAACTGACCACAATTTTCCGAGTGAAGATTTTCGATGAACAGGAACGTGCCCAACAGAAGGATCTGCACAAGAACCTCGACACGGCTTTCTCTGTGTCGCCGGAAAGAGGGATGAAATTGTTTTTCCATTGAGTTGCGATGTATCTAAACCTAATTTTTTAAATTAGAGAAATATGCAATGATATTCTTACAATGACGTTTTTATTTCAGGGAATCTGCTCGGCACGATAAACTGGGCCTGTGGTCCCACATTGATCCGTTCCAACTATTTGTAGCAAAATATTTCTTTGATGTCTGGAGAACAATAGCGGTGATTCCTGAAAAAATGATAGTTAAAGTGTTGCAAACTAAAGAAAATCTTACTTAATGGTGTATTTAGTTTCTTCTTTCTGTCCATAAAATTGAACGTAGGCTAGCGCACGTGTACGGGATTCACCAAGATTTTCCGGACAATAATCTAACCGACAGACAAAATCCATCTCATCCTCGGCTCCGCGTTCGAAATGTTGTCCTAGTAAATGATTTTCAGTCGCTTTCCGCTTTGTATGCTTTCGTCGACACAGCGATCTTATGGTGACTTTCCATTTGAAAGCTGTTGAAGCAGTAGACCGTGAAGAAGTCGTCATTCATTTATCTTTTGTGAATCCGCACGGCTTGCCTGGCTTTCCACAGTCGCTCACTGCTCGGCTGCAGAGCAATATCAGCAGATTGTTTGTACAGCTCCCACCATTCAAGATCAGAGTGCATCTTAAATGATTATTAGTAATTAGTTTTTGTAAAAATCTATCTGGAGAGCAACTTCGCTAAATTTGCTAGCTGCCTGGAGACTTGTATTGTGGTATGATAAAGTATTTTGAAAGATTCCCAAAAATTTTTGAATGGGATTTCTAAAATGAAATATCACTCAATCTAATGGAAATATGAAAATTCAACTTACCACAATTATTTCCTCGCCGAGCTTGATATCTTGAATCGGATGCGCAACAAACGGATGATCTTCATTGCGGAATCGGTATTGTTGGAAAACAGGGGGAATCCTAGTAAGACTCTCGATCCGCTTGACCAGGTCACCGATATGAATCTGAAATTAGCATAATATCAAATACTGTTGAAGATTGGATTGAAAATTACATATTCGGAGATGAAGATTACATCTTCATCTTCACCGATCAAACGTATCGTAACCCTAACCATATCTGAAAAAAAATTTATTGAAATACGTAAAACAAGAGAAATCTAAATTCAACTTTAATTTTATTGTAAGGAAATAGAAAAGGAAAAAATATTCTATTCCTTCTGGAAAATTCACGACGGGAATGAAACAGAAAAGGCATTTTTTACATCTACATCTAAAAACTAGTGAGTATTCAACATTTATTTTTTGTATAGTTTCCGCTGAAAAAGTTGACAAAATTTCCTAAAAACAAAAGCGAAAACGGAAACGAAATTTTTAATACTTCAGACGGAAAGGGAAACAGACGAATATCATTTAAAATCCGCCGAAATACGGAAAACGAACACGCCTTCCTCTGCGGTTTTGCTCAGTGACACTTCACACTTAGGAAAAAGAAGGTCCTACAAAGAGAGGGAGAAATTTCCCGAAACTAAACCGCCTTATAGTGGGAATTCCTTTGATGGGATGTGTTGGGACGTGTGAAATAAATTACTGAGTCCAATGAGAAACTATTTTTTCTGAACAAAATCACATTAAAAATTATTGTAATAATTATTTATTTAACATATAAACTATGTACTCGTAAAATAATTTAAAAAGCTCGTTCAAACACAAATATCAATACCAAAAATAAGCTAACAAATTCAAACGATAAAAAAATCCTGAGAGTCCTCTACTCGGTCTTAATTTTCAGCAGCCTTGGCCAATACAATCTGGTGAGCTGCGTACTTTTTCTCGTAATCCTCTTTCAACTTTTTCTCGATCTGAAATCAGGTTACTATTTTTCATTTCATGATGGAAACTTCAAACCTGTGCAACTGTAAGCTTCATTTTTGGAGAGCTCTTGCAGCTCAAAGTTCCACATCTGCAAACATCAACCAGCAAATCTCCCGAATCTAGCTTGTATCCATCTCCGTAGTCTAATGTCAGCTGGAAATGATACATGTTTTCAATAAAAAAGTGAAGTGAATTCAAATTACCTCCTCCCCAGGAAAAACTGGCTTTGAAGTTACTGCCACTAACTTCAAGTTGGATGGGGAAAGTCCTTTTTGGAAGATTCTGATGAGTTCTACGTTGGGCTCGCAGCAATGATTCATCATGCGAGCAACGTTCCCGACACTCTTGGTGTCCACATCCCAAAACTTCTCGAAAGTGTCCTCCATCAATTTTTTCAGATGGGCGGAGCATCTTCTGACAATTTTGGAGAGTTCCTCTCCAAACACCTTCCCATAGTCAATCCCATGATTCAGGGAATAGGAATAAGGCTTATCGCTGTTGCCCTGTTCGACAACCTCTCCCGTTAGTTCCGAGATGACGGTATCTGAAATTTTTGTTTCTAAATGTCTATTCAATTTTTCAGTTGAAGTTATTACGTGAAAAATTATCAGGTAAAAAACTTACGTGCGGGGATATAGTTGTTTGTGGCGAGCTGCATCCCGAGATTCAAATCCTTTCGCTCTAGCACAAACGAATGGATTTTCTTATCCAACCACATTGTAACGTTGTTGGTGCAGCAGCCTTGGCACCCACATTCCTCGGAGCACGCAAGTCCGACTGCATCATAAAATGTGGTGGAGTGGACTGCAACTGGGCCGAACGTCGCCTGTAACAGCCACTGAATCTATATTATAAACATTTCCACTGATGAAATCTGTTTATTATTTTTGACCAAATTATTTCAAAACTGTTAATTTTTTCTAAATTGCCACTCACGAATTCTAGATCCACATTGTACGCTTCCTTCTCCGTCTCAGAGTCTTCCGCTTCCCAGATATTCGTATTCCTCACTGCTGTCCTCAAATTTATATTCATTCTATAACACGGACAGTTGGGATTTTCCCAGCAGTTGACGACTGGAAGTTGATGATGGCAGTCACACTTTATCTGAAATTTGTTTTTGGAACTAATAAAAAAGGATTAGTATTCTGTTTTTACCATATGCACATCTTTCTTGAAGTGCTCATCCAATCCCAGAGAGTTTCCAACGTTTCTGTCGCTATATTTGAAGGCGAAAGTCTGTGGGACGGTGGCCTCTTTCACGGACTTTGCGACATCGCAGTATACTGGAATCACGTCTGATTGGTTTCCAGTGACGTTGGCGGAAAGTTGAACACGCTTTTTCGTCCTAGAAACAATTTATGTTTTTTTTAAACTTCGAAGTTTAGTTTCAACTCACTTTGCCACGATAGCGCTTCCTCTATTTTGCAATCTCATCAGATTGACCTTTCCAGTATTCATATTCTTTCCTTGTCGGACAGCGAGGATCTTCTCGGCTTGCTCTCGGAAGTTCATATCTTCTGGAGTCTTTGGGAGTGGAACTTCATAATCTTCCAACGCTGGATCCTGGTGGACTTTGTTTTGACGATCCTTTTCAGCTTTCACGAAGACTTTGTTCTCATCCCAATCGACCATTCTAACGTTTTTCGACATATTTTCAATGATTTTGTTCAAGTCGCTGAGGCGTGGAGTGATGTACCGGTCGGTGTTATTGGCCTGGAAAAACTCCGGAGTCAATCAATCGCGTGATTTTTATTCAATAGAAATTTGACGATTTCTACATTTTGTAGAACTAACCTGAGAAGTTTGAGATGTGGATGGCAGTTGGGATCCCGTATTGTTCCGAAATCGTGAGCGGGTAGCGCGAACGTAGGCATTGACATCAACTTCTTGATCTTCTTCCACGTCTTGAACTTCATCGTCGTCTCTCCCGAAATGTGTGATTGTCGCAGCTGCCGCTGAAGTAGAAGATCTTGTTGTTCGAATGTTGTCCACAACATCTTCATCTTCCTCTACTTCTTCATCTGAATCGTCGTCCTTCATGATAGCTCGTGGTGTGATTGCTACAGCTGCAGCTTTAGCAGAAGATCTTGTTGTTCGAACGCTTACAGCAACATCTTTATCTTCCTCAACTTTTTCATCATCACCTCTTTCATTCTCATCCAGATCTTCATCCATATCTTCGTCTTCCTCAATATCTTCATCTTTATCGTCGTTGCTTACAATGGCTGGAGGTGTCATTGCCGCAGTTGCTGCTTTAGCAGAAGACCGTGTAGTTCGGACGTTGACCACAACTTCTTCGTCTTCTTCAATTTCTACAGCTTCATCTTCTTTATCCTCATCCATTTCTTCATCTGCATCGTTGGCGCTCATGATGGCTGGAGGTGTGATTTCCGCAGCTGCAGCTTTAGCAGAAGCTCGCGTTGTTCGGACGTTGACCACAACTACTTCATCTTCATCTTTTTCATCTTCATTCATTTCTTCATCGTCTTCCTCTTTCTCAACTTCTTCCTCATCGTCGTCCCTTACTGGAGGTGCAATTGCCGCTGGTGCAGCTGAAATGTTATTAATTTTTATTATCAAACACAGATATTTTACTGCATCTCTGTTCCAAACCTACCTGGAATATTGTAAACAGCGAGTGGCGGGATATTTTGATTTCTAGCATTCATTTGATTTTGTTGATCAAGAACTGATTTCAAGTACACTTGAAGCTTCTGGCCTTTCTTCATCTCCATTTTAAGCTTTAGAATTTTGAAATCGTTGGATTTAAGTGATTTATTCAGCTTTATGCGACATTTTCCGTGCTTTGTGGCTGTGCTGAACGCTTCCTCTAACTCATCCACTTCCTGAAACGAGAAAATATTTTTATACTCACAGGTTTTAGAATCAGGGAAATATCGGTGGTGAAAGATTAGTTCGCGCACATAATCAATGGAATACTTTAAAATTACGAGCCGAGCTATTATTTGTACAGGGTTTATTTTTAAAGTTTTCTTTTCGAAAATTCAAATAAAAATCTATATTTTTTGCCTAGTATCATTTTTCCCTCTCTAACAAAAAATCTCCCAACTTTTACTTGAAAATTTTTGACTGATAAAAACAGGCCAGCCCGACTCATGACTATGATAAATAGAAGACACGTTTGTGGGTTTACCTTTTTCAGATCAGCATATTCATCTTTATGCTCTTCTGTGACTTTATCAGAGATACTTTTCAATTGGACAGCGATGGAGACAGTCAGTTTAGATTGGATTCTTCCATTGGTTTTCTTGAGTTTATCATTTTGTTTCTCCAATTTCCGGATTTCTTTATCTTGAGTTTCTTTTCTTTGTTTTTTCATGAGGAGATACTTGCGAGAAGCACAAGCATTGCCCATTCTCCGATTTTCTACCACTTGGTTGGAATTCTGAAATCAATGAACAATAAAAATGAAAATTTCAAACTTCGAAGACATACCTCGAGTTCTTGCATTTCTGCTTTTGTTTTCCGTCCTCTTCTTCCTGTTTTACTGGCTCCAATCACCTTCAGAAATTCTTTCCTAAAAATATTAAAACTAGCATTTGAAGTCCGACGAAAAAGTTATAACTCACAAATTTCTGTTGTTCGGATTACGTTCACAGTTAGCGTCGAACTTTGCCAATTTGCTCTTCATGGTTTGGATGCTTGGCAACTTTTTTGGCGGCCTACCGACCTTGCGTGGCATTGTGATAGATTGTTGATTGTTGTGAATACGGATATTTCTGAAAATTGAGATATGAATGTAAATTTTTCGAAAGTTACGTAAAATTTGATAAGTCAGAGAACGTTGTGAACCTAAGAGTTAAGAGTTAACAACAATCATCAAAAACAAAGCAAAGTTCAGTTTTGATATACAGTACCGGTCAATAAGATATATAGGAACGTGTTGTTCAGTTGATTTAGACTCTTTTCAGGAGTCTGTAGCTCGGCTGTCAAGTGTCCAAAAAAAGTTATTGTAAGCTTGATAACGGAGCTTCAGACTTCCGGAATAGGTGAAAATCAACTGAAAACAAGTTTTCAAACATATCTTGTTGTCCTGTACTGTACAGAGATTAGCATAGGTTCATGCAAAAATGTATTAAGCTAACAGAAATAGAAACGTTGCGCCATTTTATCTTGTTCCCTGTGGAACGTATCAAAAACTGTTTCACTGACAAATTACTGAACATATTACTGTAAGCATTTTTTTCAATTTTATATTTTTTGATATTTTAAACAGAAAATGAGATATGTAAGCTCAAAGCTAACGGTTTGGAGGGAATCCTATTAGTATGTTCGCTACATGTCCAGTTTATTGGATTGGAAAATTTTCAATTATAAAACTGAAGTTCTCGTTTAACTTTTGTCTGAAATCAAGATCGAATACTACCGTACTTTGAGCCTGTTTCAAATCATATTTTTCAATTTTTCCAATTTTTCAAAGATTTTCACAGTTTTAAAACTATTTTCATTATTTTAATTGAATTTTTTACCCGATTTACATCAAAAGCCATGAAAATCGTCAATAAATTGAAAAAGTGAGAAAATAATATTCAAAATAAGCTCAAAGTACAATAGTATTCGCTCTTGCGTCATTAAAGAAATTTAGCGAGCTAGATATGCATTGATTTCCAACAAAAGAAGTATAAATATTTCTACTAATAGAAGCTCAACTTCTAAATGACGCTCATTCAAGAGGTTGGCCAGTGAAAGCCTATGGCCTTTTATCAGAGAAAGATGGTACCCTTAATTTTTTCAGGAAAGTCAAAAAATGTCATGACATAAAGTTGATTTTTTTACTAAAAATCACTTCTCAATAAGACATGGGAAAATCGAACTACTCTGAATCGACGAATGTGAACATGTTCACGTAAATTCCATGTGATAGATCTTTTCAGAAAGCGAATTCCAAGTTCAACTATGCATTAAAAATGGGATTTCATTTTCACTGAATATCCTAAAAATTGTCAGCTATTTTTTCGAAAGCCGAAACTCCCTATAATTAAAAAATAGAAACGCTTGAAAAATCAGATGAAAATGTCTTGGAAAGAAGAGGAAAGAAAAGAAAACAAACTGCAGACACCACGTTCAAATCAAAAGGGCACACAACACGCAATGAGAGGAAGACAAGGGAGGGAGAGACGTGGACACTGACAAATGACCCTTCTTTTGCACAATAACCGATATGTCTGTTCGACAGAGCGAGGATGACACCAATGGTTTGGGTGTCCATAAACCGGGGAGGAAGAGCAAGAAAGAGATAGTACTATAGAGAGTGTACTACGCAAGAGATGCAGAGAGGGAAAGGACAGGTGTTCTCTTTTGCAGGTGACCCTAGCATTTTCTAGAGTAGCTAGAGAATAGCAAACGTTTCTATTTTGGAAAGATCGTTTCTTCAAAGACACTTGTCCCAAAAATATATACTAAAATTTTAAATATATGCTAAAATGTTTTTATTATTCCTTAAAAAATTATTCAAAAAATCTATGAAAAGAACTGCTTCATTTATTTTAAATACAGCTTTTTTGTATTTTCAAAGTATAAGAAAACACATTTTATTGAATCTGATGATGTTTGGGTTTTGGGACAAGCAGAGATTGCAAATAAAATTGAGAGAAAAAGAGAAATGAGATTTTATGACGCCAAGACTCATTTAAAAAGCGGAAAAACGAGAAAAAAATTATTTTTTGTCTAATAGAGTCAAGTTCCGTGAGAAAATAACAAACTAAAAAGGAAAACGTAGAAAACAAATGTCTAAAAAGATTTTTAAAAATTGAGGAATACGCGATTCACAAGATTTTTGAGATAAAGCATCTCATCGTTTTTATTTTGACAAGTCTACGAATAATATAAAAGAAATAGAGAGAAATAGACACAAAAAAGTGCTTTCCATGAAGGAAATGAGATGATGAGAGAAAGAGAGAACATTACAACCGGCTTCCAGAAGTGAAGAAACCAATATACTGGTGTTTTATTGACGTTTTGCTAGGAGAAAAAACCGTTTGCACTTCGAAGATAACAGTGTTGACACATAAATGTTGAAATTGAATGTCAGGAAAATATTGATTTAGTGAAGTTTCCTAGAATCGAAAACGTAGACAGAGGAGGCAGAATGTTTATTGGAAAAAAAAAGTGATTCGAAGAATAAGAAACAAAAAGAGGAAGGATATCAAATTAACTTTGTTTTCTTTTTGTGATAAATTACTTTGCGATATTTCAAACGAGAAATGAGATAGAATAAAATGACATACGATTAAAATCACAGAAAATTGAAGAGATAATACATTTTATGATGTATTTTCCTCCCATTTGAAAACCAGACTGAAGAACTTCTTATCGTTCGTTAGGTGGAAACCAAATCCTTCAATCACCATGGGGAAAGTGCAGGCGTGGAACCAGAAAGCATCAAAATCCAAAATGCTTGACTTGATTTGTAGAAGGAACTGATAAAAATTGATAAACGTCTGATCAGTCTCCGATTTCTCTCTATTGGCCAAAAAATGATCGAGTCGCTTTTGAAAGAGTTCTTTGGTTTTTTGAGGGGACCAACTTATATTATTGTTTATCATTTCTCGATATACATTGAAAATATCACCATCAAAAAAGCTAACGTTTTCTGAAAGAAAAGTTATATACATCACCAGTCAATAAAATACACAAAAAATATTTTTCAGTTCATTTTCGGCCATTTTCATTAGTCTCGAGCTTGGCTGTCAAGTTTCCGAACACATCAAAAATTTTTTTGAGGGTCTTCAACAGACCCAGAGTAGAAATTTCGCATCCAGAAAATTTTGAAATTCCTGATTTTTCAGCTTTTTGCAGTTTTATGAACGACTTTTTTTGGCTTGCTTTGTTCTGAATATGTAAAAAAATGAGCGTTTTTCAGAAATCGGCAAACATTAAAAAAACTAAGAACTTTCTAACAATTCTGTGAATTCACAGTGATCTAGGTATGTTTCACACTCTCGTAAATTTTCAAAGTGATCGGAAACTTGACAACCAAGCTCGCAAATCCTGAAAATTGTCAAAATAGCAGAACATAAACTGAAAAAATGTTTTATATTTTATTGACCGTTACTGTTTGTACATTTTAGTATATACTTTTGACACAAACCTTTTTTGATATCTTCTCCATTTCTTAAATTATTTTGAAGATTTATATGATTCACAAAATTAATTTGATACTCTTTCTCAATTTGTACAGGATATTGTTCTAAATCTTTAAGTACCACAGAAAACTCGGGATCTACTACTGGTTTCCACATTGGAAACGTGATGACCATTTCCATGTAACGCTTGTAAAGCACATTTCGGTTGTAGTCTGATAAATATTTATGGAACAAAAACGAAAGATCCTGTAAGACAACAGTCTCTCCGTAATCTGAAAGCAGCTCCTCTTTGACAGTTTCCAAAAATCGTTTCATCTTCCACGTTTCCATGTCTCCAGAATTATAGGCGTTGATTCGAGCTGTCAACTCTCTTTTTAGTGTTTTCAGCGTTTCCATAAACGGCAAAGTTCCTGGTGTGCGCGTTTTCCAAAATTCTATGATCTCGATTTGAAGTGGGTGTAATGACGGCAGTTCTAAAAAACAGCTAAATTAGACCAATCATGCTTTCAAAGAGTACCTTTTTGAAATGCTAAATAAGTACTCCGAACGGGTCTGAATGTCTGATAATAGTCATCCAGTGCATACGAAATCAAATGATCAAATGTTCGTTCTACGTGTCTAGCTTTTGCAATATCGTCACTGTCCGTTTCATCCAATTCAAAGGATGCAGTTGTGTTTGTACCCGCTTTTCTGGAGAAAATCCTTTGAAAGTAATTCAAACACTGAACAAACACTTAGCAAGCCTGTTTCGAGCAATTTTGAAAAAATTATCGGAAATCCTCTAATAGAACATTGCCCTATACTAAAACTTCAAACACAGTTAACTCAATTTCCATGAAGCATATACAAAATAGACAAGCTAGGAAGATGTTGGTGATGGCATGATGAACATTTTATCAGTTCAAAAATTTTTGATGAATCTTATAAGAATTGAGATAATTGAGCTTAACGCCCAGTGAAGGTTGATGTTTAATTAGAAAAGTTACAGCAGTAATTTTATCTACTTGTTTTTAGTACATAACGTGAATACTGTATTAAGTTGACTACCTAGTTTTGAACGCTTTTTTTTCAATAGTTTCAATTTCTATAACAGATAACAAAAATCTCTAAACCGAAAAAATTTTCAGCATAAAATCCTCAACGTTTTATCATTTGAGACATTTTTGAAGACTTTCACAAAAATCGAGATGATTGCGCCAAAGTGCGAGTATAAGTTGCTTTAGATTATAGTTTTCAGCTAATGCTTCAAGAATTTTATAGCGCAAAATCATTGTTAGGTTCTTTTCCAATATACTTACATTCTTGATGACTTTTGTGTCTTGCATCCTTTTTTCTTGGATTTCGACTTGCGAGCCTTTAGGGCTTTCTGTTTCTTCACGGATATCGTGCTTTGCTCAGTCGCCACTCTAAAAACATAAATAATTTTGTAGGTTTTTTGAAGAAACTACAACTCACGTGTCCGTATCAGACGCCCATGAATCATTTTCCGATTTGATTTTATTGGAATCGTCGTTTTCAATAACATCAACTTTGGACATGGTTTCTAATTTCACAGGAATTCTTCCAGAGTTCTCCACCGATTTCTCTAATTTGCAGAAACCATCAGTGTAATTATTGTTTAACGCAATGTTGACTGACGGTATTTGAATTGGTTTATTAGAATTTTCCTGTAAATCTTTGACACTAGATAAAATAAGTTCTGTTTTGGCCAATAGGGTTTCTAGTTGTCCTTCTGTTTTTTCATTAGCTGGGCTATTATACAATTTTCTAAATTGATTTCTATTATTTGCTTGTGAAGAGTTCCTGAAAACTCGATTTCTTACAAACAAAAATAAAAGGAAAAAAGAACGTTACTGGTTTCTCCATCCATTGTAGTTTGATCTATATCTATTGTTGCCAGAGTTTTCTGATCGAGAAGAGCCGCTTCTTTGATAATTATTTGATCGAAAATTTCTTGAAATATGCGGAGACTGATTCTGATTTCCGATATTTGTACTAGGTATAGCTTCAGTAGAAGAAGTGTTGGGTGATTCTCGTTTTGGTTCTGAAAAGTGTGTCAATCCTAGCACATCAGCATAGGTTTTAGACGATTTTCCACTATTAGAAGAAAAATCATATAATGTTTTTGGACATTCTTTGGTTCTTGGTCCTGTTTCACCAAGAGTAGGGAAGTTCTTCTGATAAGCCGATTCAGTGTACCTGGAAAAGGGTTAATTTGAGACAAGTGATAGTAGTTTGCGATTAACTCACAATCGATTAGGGTACGTAGTATCAGGATATCGTTCTACCATTGGTGAGTTAGAATTCATTGATGACTGAGTGATTTCTATCTGATTCTCCCGCAAATCAATCGAATTATCCATAACTTTCTCATTAGAAACTTGTTGCGAAAAATCTGAAATAAAACATTTGTACAGAAAACAATATAACATTATTTACCAGTTTTTGCCACACCCTCATTCAATTTTTCACCGCATATTATGTTTTCACAGTAGACGTTCAGCCGTTTCACTTCTTCGCTTAAGTAGGATACCGCATGCTTCAATTCGGTATTTGCAGCACCTAGATTGTTATCCGTGCGTGATATTATTTGTGATGTCAATTGAGTTCCAGAGATTCCTGAACTGACGATTGCATATGTGGACTGTTGCTGGTCATTGAGAACCGATGATTTCTGATCGAATTTCTCCGCTTCGTTGGTAAATTTCAATTTGGCCGAATATGGTCCTTGTTCGCTGATCTGGAAAGGGCCTGTCTCGCATTGCGCTTCAGATTGAAGATTTGATTTCAAATTTTCAATGCTTCTTGATTCCTTCGATTCATCTCCAGTGATTTCATTTTTCTCGGGAACTTTAAAGGTTCCATGGTAAGTTGTAGTTGTTTCCGACGAAGTCAAATTTCTATCCTGGGATGGTTGGTCGGTTTCCAATTCCTCATTTTGGCTGATAGTTGTATTTAGTTGTTCAGCTGAAGTTATTATATGCACGGTTTGTGTAGACTGGGTAACATGACAAGTACCTTTTTCGTCAACCTCTGGAACCGCAGCATGATATTCACAATCTTCTGTTTGAACATTTGCCTCGGTTTGGCTTGAACCTTTGCCATATGCTTCTTCTTGACTTGATCCTGAGATTCCAGCTTTTTCCGGGTCCATAATAGAAGAGGATTCAACGATAATGTTGGTCTGTTGTGGTGTAGATGCGACTGTATATTGAGCATTATTTGCAGGGCCATCATAGTAAACAGTGTGTTGCCAGTTGTTGTTTGGGTTGCTAATTGGGCGATAGCCTTGATTCGAGATCATTGTTCCATGCGCATTTTCATTTTGAGGATAGCCATAAATTGTCTGCAGTCCTTGTGTCTCGGGCTGATACATAGGCATCGGTTGTTGGTAAGGCATACTTTGAGCTGAATGGCTGTTATGGAAGTAGGTTGTACGTTGCCAATGGGTTTGTTGGTTGCATGTGGAATTCATTTGGTGTGGAGCAGGAACTGTACGCCCCATCTGATCATTGTGCCAATACCCAGTTGATGGATATTCTGGCACATTTACAGAATGATATTCATTTGGAAACGGATGGGAACCCATTTGAGATTGCATGTTTTCCGGTGAGTGGTAGATCATTTGTAATTCATTGTTTCCCATAGTTCTCATTGGTGGAGCTGGTGGAACTTGTTGAGCCTGTGCGACCATTGTTGGAGTGTATTGAACTACTGGTTGATTTTGTGGATGCGGATAATGAGCAAGCGGCTGTGAAGATGTCACAATTGGAACTTTGTTGTTTTGGTTCTGATATTCTTGCTCATACTGCAATGCTGGGACCACCAGTCCATGATCCAACGGGAAATGATTATTTTCTGCTTGGTGATGATAATTTGGGTCTGAGCTATTATACCGTGTTTGTGCTGGAGAGCCGTAGACCCCTTGCAAATTCTGAGCATTCATAAGACAATTTGGGTTGTTGCATTCGATGAATTCTTCTTCAGATCCCGGCAGTGTTGGGAGGTGTTGAGAAAAAAATCGACCGTCTGATTGAAAAAGGTTTTGCATTGGATTAAAGCTTGTGTGCAGATAGTTGACCCTTTGCGTTGGATCTAGGGGAACGGCTTGTGGAATGTTCGAAGTCATTTGTGCTGATTAGCAAAACTGTTATTCTCAAAACTCTCGGACATGGAACCTGGAAATAAGTCAAAAAATTGAAATAGATCATTCAGGAGATTTAGGAGACAACCCTATATGACGCAACAAGAAAACAAGACTGCGAGAGATAATGAAAGAAGTGACATCAAAGTGTGAAAAAGTTGACAATAAGTACGAAAATTTTGTTTTGCACATTGCACTACTCGTGATTTTTGAAAATCAGATGACGGATGAGAACTATAAAACTTTCGCATTATTCCGCATTAATGAATCGTACGTCATAAATCCTAATCAAGAAGAAAGCAAACTTCTAGCGTCATATACTTGAAAAACACTTTAAAATTTATGATAAACATTTGGTCAGTTGACCTTTTTTAAGTAGTTTCTATGGAAAATAAGATATGTGAGTCCAAAAAAGACGGTTTGAAACGTTTTAGACTGCAAAACAAAACAAAACTCTGCTGGAACGAGACTTCCTTCAATTCTACAACTTCCTGCTTCATGTCAAATCACACGTACTTGATTTCGATGTGTTCTGGTATCATTTATCATGTACCACCAAAAAGCGAGAAGGCGAAGAATGGATACTCACAAATGATCTGATGTTCTTCCGTTTGCTATTTGGAGATGAGGACAAATGGCATAGATGATCTCCATTTCTCTGAACTTTCCTCTCATTTCCTTTTTTGTTGGTTTCCAGTAATTACTAATTTTGTCTGTCTCCTGTTCTCCAAAGAAAAACTATATCCGTTCGTGATACATTCCAAATTTCTATTGTGATCTTTTTTTTTTTGAATAAAACTGTGAAAAATATTTTCTGAAGTATCCTAGTGGAACTGAACAACTTTTTGATATTTCTGACAGGAACTAAGATAATTTGATTCAAAGTTCAAATTTTATTTTATTTGAGTGTAACGCTGTTCTTATACATGATCGTTATTACCCATGAAAATTGAGAAAATCGTGCTCTAATTGTCCGAATCCTGGCACAAATTTGTCTCGGAATCCCGATAACGTAGTGTGAATGATACATCAAAAATCCAATACTGCAGATAAGAAAAACATACAAAATAGAGAAAAAGCATAAAACGTGAGACCGAGAATCTTTTTTCCTCATAAAACTCTTGTGTGGTTGGAAAATCTGTAATTTACCCGACAAAATGATAAGCAGGTTGTAATTAAAAGTGTAAAGTTCAAGTAGAATGTTTTAAAAATTTCTGGAGGCGGAACACGCTATATAATTATGAGGAAGAAGGGCTATTTTTGATATTCAGAATCTAACAAATTCAAAAAAAAAAAGAAACTTAAACGAATGATGAAGACCATAAGTTGATGGAGTATCTAGAAAAAAGAGGAAGTATGAAATGAAAAAGAAGCCAAACAAATCATGACATACTAATTTGAACCTCGTGAATCAACTCGAGCATGGTAAAATTTTTTTTAAATAATTTTTAAATCTATCCTGATCTTTTGGTTATCTAGAATGTGTAGGTTGTGACTCGAAAAAAAGGTGGAGCTCATTAGTGCAGGAGGTAGAGCGTGAATTTTAAATAACGTTGGAATAACAAAAAACGTGGATTTCAAATTTCAGAAAAAAAAAGACTCTGAACTGTGATGCACGTTTTAAAAATCAAAAAAAAATCCACTAGGATACTTCGACAGAAAATATTTTTCACAGTTTTATTCAAAAAAAAAGAGATCACAATAGAAATTTGGAATGTATCACGAACGGATATAGTTTTTCTTTGGAGAACAGGAGACAGACAAAATTAGTAATTACTGGAAACCAACAAAAAAGGAAATGAGAGGAAAGTTCAGAGAAATGGAGATCATCTATGCCATTTGTCCTCATCTCCAAATAGCAAACGGAAGAACATCAGATCATTTGTGAGTAGCCATTCTTCGCCTTCTCGCTTTTTGGTGGTACATGATAAATGATACCAGAACACATCGAAATCAAGTACGTGTGATTTGACATGAAGCAGGAAGTTGTAGAATTGAAGGAAGTCTCGTTCCAGCAGAGTTTTGTTTTGTTTTGCAGTCAATACAGCAATTTTTGCACGGAAGAACACTTTGGTTTTCGTTGGTGTCCAATCGACTGGTACATCCGTCAATTCGTCAAACATTTGGCCAACATGGTCATCCAAATCCGTGATTAAATCTGGAAAATTTGATTTCGTCTGCTGCTTCGGTTCCGGGGAATATAAAATTACCTGGATCAAAGTGCAAATTGTTTATCATGCAATTCTGAAGGTTGAGATGGGCAATGAAACATCTCAGCGGATGCTCATTGATAATGACTGGAGGCTGTAGAAAGTCTTCGTATTTGCAGCAATCTGAAGGAACATTTCTGGGTTTCCACTCCGGAAACGTTGACACCATTTCATAGTAATGTCTATCCAACTCGAGTTGGTTGTACTCGGAAAGCTTCTTATCAATTTGCCAGAGAAAATCATCCATTATAACGGCAAACGAAGGCATGACTTTCATCAAAGATCGGATTTCCAAATAGAAAATAAACATTTTATAAATATCCATATTTGCAGATCCTTTGTATCTCCTAATTCGATTGTTCACAAATGTCAAAACCAACTCTTCGAGTTTCTCGCTGTGAGAGAATGCTCCAGGCATTCGATCTCCCCAAAAATGAATGATTTCGCTCTGTATTTCGGGCATCAGAGGACGTGCTGTAATCGTTAAAGTTATTTATACAATTTCATTTTAACCAACTTACGCTTCCAAAAAGCTAAATATGTGCATCGAGCACGGTGCATGTCGTTGTAGTAGGATTTTGTGAACTTTCTTACAGTGGTGAGACATTGTAGTCTTTCTTTTTTCTCTGCTTTTTGAAGCAGCTCAAGCTTCTTCAACTCTTTCATCTGCTCTTTTTCATCCTCAAGGCTCGTTTTCTGTTGACTGAAACGTTCCTATTTAAAGACGAATAGTGTTGAAAACTCAATTTACCTGTTTTTCGATAAAAACTGCTTCTTGGAAAATCTTTTTTTCGGCTTTGACTTGTTAGCTTTGCTTGACATTTTAGCTTTCTTGGAGATATTCTCAGCATTGTGGTTTGCTCTGAAAGTTTCTAATATTTCTCACTACATCAAAAAATTATCCACGTGAACTTACAAAGGAAGGTCAACTGCTTCTTTTGCAGTTGGCACAATTATTCTCGTAATGACAGGAGGTTTTTCTTCTGCTTCTTGTGATTGTGAAACATTCGAAGCTTGATTTGACAAGACATCTGCTGGTTTCTCATTGGACCGTTGAGAGGTTTTACATCTGAATATGTATTTTGGAACAGAGATACACGGACAACGAAGCCAAAATTTGCGGGCAACGGACAAAATCTTCGAAAATGAAAATATACGAGTATCGTAAAACTGGTAATAGAAGAAAAATACTATCACGTTTGAGCTCAATTATTTCAACTGCAATGCAAGATATCAAAAAATGTTACAGGGAAAACACTTCTGATATTATTATAATCAATTTATCGATTGACAAATTTTTAATATCTTTCACGCTGAGTTGGTGCGATGTTGACAAACAAAGGATGTTTTCTTATGCATGCTTTACGGTGCACGGACAACGGACAGCGGAAACAGGACAACAAGTTTTTATCAAGGACAATAGATAGACGACGTATCAAAAGTTTTCATCGGAAACAATGGACAACGGGCAACACACTTTCCGAGCACATCTGCTTTGGAATTTCCAGATTCATGCAAATCTCACTTAGCGTAAGCAGATTTCCTATTCCGCAACGGAACGAAAAGTTTTGTTGTGTTTAGTACTTTTCTTTAACAGTGCATCTGATTTTCTTCTCCTGTTCGATGGTGAATCACTTACGTTTTCTTATAATTTCCAGCTGGGGGAGTTGGCGATGATACAATAGTTTTAGCATTCGGAGTTTGCGAATTAGATTTGTTTTTAGTTTCCTCTGACTTATTTCTAAGTGAAATGAGCTTGTTAAATTCGCTAGAACGAGATCGAGTAACCAACGGGGATTTGTAAGCTCTATAATTAAAACATAAGAGCTGCTTACATTTTCATGACTTACGACTGAGCTGGAAGAGATAATGATGGGGAAAGAGGAGCATGTCGCCGCTCAGCAATTTTTCTGTCAGTAGTGTCTTTGGCTGGATCATTTTCTACAGAACCGATAGTTTTTTTGGAACTATGTGAGCCTAATTGAGATATCGGTGGGCTGGCATCGCTTAAAAAAACGATTAGCGAATAATCGTTTGTTAACAAACTTCAGAGTAGAAACTACAGCTGATTTCTGTGTGCTCTTCTTGTTTGCAATTGGCTTTGCCGATCCTGTATTAGTCGAGATAAGCGTTTTTTGTTTTTGCGATTTATGTGCGTTTGGTTGATCTGTTTTACCACGTCTTAAAATTCAACTATTAAACTAAAGTTCTCATAGGTTTTCTTACGATGCTGGTGGTAAATATGGCTTCATATCAGATCTTCTCTCAACAGGTTTCGAGGATACCTTTGACGAGCTACTTTCATCGTACCGCTGCTTTTGGGGTTTCTGACCGGTAGAGTTGTTGTTCTTGGCTGTAGGTGTAATTCTGAAAAACTCGTTTTTTCGCAATGGTGCGAATACTTCCAACTTACGGTTGTGCTGCCACAAGCTTGGTTTCTGTTGGAGGAAAGTCTATCGTTTTCTCAACTTCATCTCTTGAACTTGTAGTCTTCTGTTCCACTTTTGGGAAATAATGTTCACTTTTATCAGCCCGCTCATCTGCATTCTGAGCCAAAGCACAAGTAGTAGAGATTGCTGGAGGTTGTTCGTCAGGCTGGTCCAGTTTGATAGTTTGTAACAGCGAAGCAATAGAGTCGATTCTGAAAATTCATGATGATTGTTTACTTTGTACTAAATAACGTATTCAAGATACTTACTCATCTTTCGAATCCTTCAAAACTGTCTTTGTTTCTTCGTTCTCTAGTTTAGCAGGATTGTTGCTTTCAGATGCGTCCTGCTCTGATATTTGAGAAGCCATTAGGGTATTCGGCAAACCTTCAACACTACTTTTCTCATTACCGGATCTAGGAGAATTCAAAGACTTCGGAGTCAACAATTCAGTTGGCGATGATAGTTGTTGCTCTGTCTCTTCAACTATACTTGAGAGTTTTGAAATGCTCTCTAGTGTATGAAGCAGTTGAGTTTCACGATCGACGTATTCCTTCAATTGGGCATTCAGATAGGAGTTTGCTTGGGCGTGTTGAGCATTGATCACATGAAGAGATTGAATGTACTGTCCCATTGCATGGATTGCGTGAAAAACTGGAACGATTTCTTTACGGGGTTGTTGCATCGGGAAGTTAATGTTGTTGTTCATGATATCACGTCGATCGCATTCTGCTGGTATTGGTAGTGACGAATGATGCATAGTCCTATGTTGTAGCATATTTGGACTGGAGGACGGAACGCTTTGACTATCAATATATTGAGGAATAACATGTGGTGGACCAATATAGAAGGGGTTCGGTACTAGTGGGCTTTTAACGAGTCTGATTGGTGGATCCGGTAACAACGGTGGTTTCGACTGATTGACCAATGGAACATGCGGGCTTCCACTACTAAGGTGAACTTGATTCGATGGATGTTGCTCTCGAATAGGAGGCTCACTTAGAAGATTTTTTGATAGAGCCATATGTTGCTGAACTTGACTTCCTATATTTTGAGTGTAGTAAAGATCAGATTGTTGATTTTGATTGTGTTGCAGATTATTATGGTCACTGTATCCATCGGGACGGCCTGAGTTATAGAGTATAGGCTCACAGGATCCAACTCTGGGTAATTGGTGATTTTGTGACTGATGCTGGGTGTTGTTTTGGACAAAGTGTTTGTTGCCGGAATGCTGGAAATTACCTCCACCGGATGCTAATGGGTTTTGGTTGTTGTCTTGGTGAAAGTGACTAGCAGCTTTTTGAGATTGATAGCTCGAGTGGTGTGTTTCTTGATAATACTGAACTGGGAGGTTACAAGAAGAGTTATTTCTAGATGCGTTAGATCCAGGATGTATTGGCTGTTGACCGTAACCTTTTTCTTGGTAGTTGTTCTGCATATGCGGATGGGATCGTCTTACGTCACTACTGTACTGCGCTCCAAAAGACGACATGGGGTGTTGATGGCCACCTTGGAAATTATCTTTGCCATGCTGCTGTTGGGCCGGTTTATTAGCT